ATATATATATATATATATTATATATAATGTAAATAACTTAAAACACTTAAAGACTTTTAGGGGAGGTGTCTGGGCAGCTAAGTCAGTTGGGTGTCCAACTCTTGATTTCCGCTCAGGTCTTGATCCCAGGATTGTGGAATGGAGCCCTACATTTGGCTCCCTACTGAGCATGGAGCCTGCTTAATATTCTCTCTCTCCCTGGCTTGTACTCTTTCTCTCAAATAAAAATAAATACATAAAGACATTTTCAGGTAGAAATGCATGTTTGTTATTAAAAAATGCTTGCCTGGGGGTACCCAGATGGCTCGGTGGATTGAGTGTCTGACTCTTGATTTGAGTTCATGAGTTCAAGCCCTGAGTGGGGGCTCTGCGCCGGCAACGTGGAGATTGCTTGGGATTTTCTCTCTTCCACTCTCTCTGCCCCTCCCCCACTTGCTCTCTACCTATCTCTCAAAATAAATAAATATATTTTTTAATTTTTTTAATGTTTATTTATTCTTTAGAGACATAGAGACAGAGTACTAGCAGGACAGAGACAGAGACAAAGGGAGACACAATCCGAAGCAGGCTCCAGGCTCTGAGCATGGGACTTGTACACACAAGATCATGACCTGAGCCCAGGTAGAACACTTAACTGACTGAAACACCCAGGCACCCCAAAAAATAAATATTTTCTTAAAAAGAAAAATGCTTGCCTGAACTTTTTTTTTTAATGTATTTATTTTTGAGAGAGCACTAGCACAAGCAGGGGAAAGGCAGAGACAGAGAGAGGGAGAGAGAGAATCCCAAGCAAAGCTCTACTGCCTGAACTTTTTCTAAACTTGTAACTTCATCAGTTTTTAATTTATCCCTTGGATTTTAGTTAGACTTTACTCTTAAAGGGCCCACCTACTGAAAATGAGATGTTATTTCTAATAGAAACCATGACATCTCCCAATTGTACATAATCCCTACATCGTCTGACTGACATCTAGGATATTTTGAAAGTGAGCAAAGATAAAGACCTTAAACAAGGGGCGCCTGGGTGTCTCAATCAGTTGAATGTTCAACTCTTGATTTCAGCTCAGTTAAGGAGTTTCTGCTATTGAGCCCCGCGTCCAGCTCTGTGCTGACAGCAAGGAGCCTGCTTGAGATTCTCTCTCTCTCCCCACCCCACCTCCAGATCGTGCTCTCTCTCAAAATAAATAAATAAACTTAGAAAGAAAAAAAAAAAAAGACCTCAAACAAGACTTGTGAATTCAGTCTGTTCATGTAGCAGTAGGAAAAGAGATATAAATTTCTTGACTGAGATGGTTTCACTCCCTTGACTGCACTGCCAGTGAAAATGGTACTGGGTTTTCCAAGCCAGTTAAGGAGTCATTTCTTCCAGGCACTGTCCTTTTGTCTTTCCTCTAGTAAAAGTAATTGACATGGGGCACCTGGGTGGCTCAGTCAGTTAAGCGTCCAACTTCGGCTCACGTCATGATCTGGGCTAATAGCTCACATCCTGGAGCCTGGTTCAGATTCTGTGTCTCCCCCTCTCTCTGCCCCTCCCATGCTCATGCTCTGTCTCTGTCTCTCAATAATAAGTAAACGTTAAAAAATAATTTTTTAAAGTAAAAGATAGGTCCCCAATCTACAAAAGAAGTGGAAGGTAACAGATAAGCTCTAGTATATGATATTTCTAATTTGTCTATAAGAAATAATTAAATGTAAAATGTCTTGGTTTAGAAATACCCCATTACATGCAAGACAACATACTTAAAAGCCCCTAAAAATTAAAATCTTTTATAAATTTACTTAACCATAAACTAAGCTAAGAAAACACAATAGAAGATCATGTGCATGGACACAGTATGATTCCAACATATCCACTTCAACTCCATTATCTGAAACCCTAACAACTGCTCTGAAACGCTAGGTCATAACAACATGCCAATCTGCCATGAAAATTTTCTACAATCTGTAATACGCAAAAAGTAAATTACCAAATACAACCCATTTTAGCATATCATTTATTATATTTTAGGATGTCTAAAAAAAAATCCCACGACAACTAATGAAAATACATATATCTGCTTTTATTCCTCTCCTTTTTGCATTTGCTGTCTCTTATTAACGCTTCCATCTGAAACCATACTTCTATGAGTTAAAAATTAGTATTTTTTAATTTGTACTTCTAGGAAAGCCTGAGTAGTGATTTTGGCTCTTTTTAGCCCCAAAAAAGTAACAATATTTTAATAATTAAAAAAGCATTTTGGGTGTTTTCAGTTGAACATGTAAGTAAAAACAAATGGGGAAACTAAAATAATCACTTTCAAAGATAATTTTTACCCATAAAAATTACAGAATACCTATAAAGTTATTAGTATAAAAAGCCAAGGGAAAAAACACGATTAGGTTTAAGTTTGTACCCAAACTAAATTTTCACATTAAAGAAGAAACAAAAACAAAAACAGGGGCGCCTGGGTGCCTCAGTCGGTTAAGCAACCGACTTCAGCCCAAGTCATGATCTGTACTCACAGTCTGTGAGTTGGAGCCCAGCGTCAGCTCTGTACTGTCAGTTCACAGCCTAGAGCCTGCTTCAGATTCTGTGTCTCCCTCTCTCTCTGCCCCTCCCCCGCTCACTCTCTCTCTCTCAAAAAATGAATAAACGTTAAAAAAAATTTGTTTAAAACAAAAACAAAAACCACTACCCAGAATAAAACATTTTAGGGAGGACTAAAAAAAAAAGGCAATTAACATTAAAGTAAAATTAAAACTAGTCACCTTCTACCAAAGACATATACATGTAATTCTTATAGAATCTCTACCTACAAACAAAATCAGAGCCTATATGAGCCAAAACTGTCACACACGCACACGTTTTTTTTTTGATGTCAAATAACATGAAGGTAAACAATTTTTTAAACATGATCTTTTTTTCAGCCTTTTCCATATATGGTCAATTTCACTAAATCTATTTCATTTATGTTCTACCTTCATCACAATACATCTCCATCTCTGTGCTCCCAAACTTTACTGCAGAAAAAGACAGCAGACTCAAGACACCCATACTCTTCTACAAAACTTTCAAGTAGACCAACACTAATATAAAACCCAGAAGCCCTTAGTGTACTTTCATTCACACCTGTACTCTCACATACTCCTCATCCTCAGAATGTAAAAAACACGTCAGACACCAAAATTCTAATGCTGCCTCCTTCACCCATCCTACCTTCATAAGGCTGACACAGTGGACTAAAGATGACTCTCTTCTTAGGTGTTCACATCCAAGAAATCAAAGCAGCAAAACAACAACAAAGTTATTTAACAAGATTTCTCAGGAGGACCAGGACATAAACTGGGAAGTAGCTGTCTCCCAACAGCCCCAGCTTTACCACACCTCCACGCCTCCCAAACTACCTCTTATTTACACTTCAGAAAAACTCAATGTTTCCACTAAAATGGTCTAATCTAATGAATCCTATAGCCTGCCCATCTCTTCCTCTACCCCTTTTCTTTCACCAGCAAGTCCTCACCTCTAACAGGAGAATAAGCACTAGAAATTAGGAGGGGGCAGGAAATGATCCCTTCCCTTCTCTTGCCAAGCCTTCTTTCCCAAGAGAGTTCGATATCATCTCTCTCCAACTCTCCCTTCAGCATTCCTTCTCTTCCCTCTCTGGGATGTTTCAGAAACTACCTATATCCCATTATCTCAAATAAACTCACCACAATCCTAAGCTCTTAAAATGGTTACAAAACAAAACAAAAAGCTGGTACCTCTGCTCTCTAAGTGTCCCAGTAATTCCATAACTAATACTACCCAAATATTTTTCAAAAACAAGCCCTTCTGATTCTTCAGCCCGTCAACAATAATCCTACACCCCAATATCCTCAGTTGCCCTCACAATCCTTCAACAGTATTTACAAAACTCGTAGTCTTTCTTCTACCCCTTTTATTGCTCCTATGGCTGTACCTAAAAATCCCTACATGTTGCAGGTATACCCCCTTTCAACTACTCCTCCAATAATATTAAATACCAGGGTAGCCCTTTCAACCCTCAAACTTTAAAATCTCAGTATTTTCTAACCCTTAATGGTATTTAAAAGTTATTAGTTCTCCTAGTACTAACAACTCCCAGATAATATTTTAAAATCCCTTCATATCCTTGTTATCCTATTTAACAGCTTTCCAGTAATTCCCAAAAACACTTGAATGCTCACATATCCCTTTCAACTACCTCATGTTTCTCAAATCCTTCAAAATTCTTGAACCCTTAGAGCTCATCAATAATCGCTATAAAACCCTCAGTATCCCTACTATTCCTTTCTGTCTTCATGTTTTTAAAAGGCCCTCGATACTCTGCTTCTGGATCTTTTAGCCTCGTACTAATATTGTTAATAAAGCCCTCGACATGCTGCTACACCCTTAATATTCACATTCAAAAATCCCTCGATAGCCTTGCGATCTACCGCTGTTCTCAAAGAGTAAAATTTTAAATTCCCTCACTATTCCTGCTACCCCTTCCAACACCCCAATATTTATATTTAAAAAGCCCTCGCTGTCCTTGCCCAGCCTTTACTTACCCTCCGGTCTTTTGTACCTGCGCCTCTGCACCCCCCCTGCCTGCCTCTCGCCTTTCCCCCCCCACGGGTGATGGTACCCAGAGAAGACGTCTGCCGGTGCCTCCCGACTGCGCTCCGCCGCCCTCCCCACGCCCGCTCACTCCTTCTTTACGCGGATCCCAGCGCCCGTTCGCCGGTCCTGGCCCAGCCTGGCTCACTCACATCGGCTCCAGTAACTTGGCCAGCCAGGACTTGAGGGCATCCACATCCTCTATGAGCATGGTGCAGGGAAGGCGGGCTCGGCCGCCGGTCTTGTTCAGGCCTGCCGCGGGTCTCCCCTCGCCGCTTCCTCACCCTCTCTTCACAGCTCCCGGTGCCCCAGCCCACCGGGCATCTTAGGAGACTTCAACCTACTCCCCCGGCCGGGGCCTAACAGGAACTAACCCAAGAGCCCTCGCTCAACCTACCTTGACGGCTCAGGAGGGCAGGAGATAGCGTCAAGTGGCGGGCGCAAGAACCAATAGAAATAAGAGGGCCGTGCGCGCAGAGCCAATGAAAAAGCTCGCTCGCCCCGCCGGCAGGCCCTACCCAGCTAAGGAGGAGGGATATAGCAAGGTAGGTGGAGAGCTTACGTGAACTCCTGGTGCAAGATGGTATCTTGGAGAAGGTGCTGTGAGTCTTAAAGGGGCCGCGGCGCCTTTTTGACCACGCCGTCGCCCGCCGCGCAATACCGGTGTCTGCTACTGGGAGTGCCTGGGGGAACCCGGCAAGCCCCTCAGCCTGGTTCCTTCCTCTCGTTTTTTCCTGGAAACACACTTGTGTCCCGAAATGACTCAGCTGTAGTAAATCTGCAACACAACGTGCAATACGTTCACGTTCGACACATTGCACAGAATGCAAAATTTTACTTTTTTTTTTCCTTGCACAATCATTTTGCTCAGCACACATGCTTGTATTTTTCGCCGCTATGCTTAAGTTACGCAGAATGTTTCTGACAACCATTCCTTGGACTCCAGTAATCGTCATTTTTAAAACGTGGCGCACAGTTGTAAAAGGCTGAGGCCATTTCAGTTTTACCAGTATTTTTAATACATGCTTTATTTAGGAAAAAAAAGATTCTAATCATTTTTTAAATTCTCTGTTCACTGGATATCTAAAATTCAGTAGGGTTTTTTTTTTTTTTTTTGCAGGGAGAATTTTGGTCAGCAAAAAAGTTTTTAAAAATAATTTTTTTTTAAATCGAAATTACCAAAATAGGCAACTTAGTTTGTATTGGATAAAAAAATTCCTTTTGAAGTTTTGAAATTACTAGCTTGGCACTGGTCTTAGAATGCTTACTCAACAACAAATACTGAGCACCTGCTCTATGCTAGCACTGTGTAAGGCACCAGGATTCCAATGGTTAGCAAAACAGTCTCTCAGCTGAACGGTTTGTGGGATTGTGCAATATAATAATATTTTGAAAAATACCTGATGAGTACAAACCTCATATAAAAGAGATGGGTCAGCCCAAAATAAGCAAGTATACTTATCCACATAGAGCAGAAAAAAGCAAACTTTTTCTTAAAAGGACTAGATACTAAATATCCCTTGTTTTGTGGGCCATATGGTTTCTGGCAACTACTCAATTCTGCCCTCTTGGCATGAAACTGGCCATAGGTAATACATAAACAAATGATTATGACTATGTCCGAATAAAACATACTCAATTTTAGATGATTTTCAAATGTCACAACATACTTTCTTGATTTTCTAAAAAACCATTTAAAAGTGGAAAAGCCATTGTTACCTTACAGATATACAGAAGAGCCAAGAGCCAACAGGGTTTGGCTTACTGGCCCTTACATAGAGTAATAAAAGCAAAATGCACTTAGAAATCATCTAACGAACCCCCTTCCCTGACACCTTCTCCTTAACTTTGCAAATAAGGATAAAAGGCCAGAGACTGAGTGGTTTATTGAAAATCACACATATCTGTAGATGGAGCAGAATTTGCATCTGGATCTTCTTACAGCAAGTCCAGAGTTTTGTCATATCCAACTGTTGCCTCTTCTTCCCTCTCTCCTCCCCTTCTTTATGCTTATCCACAGGTTTCCTTCACTTTTCTTCCTAGTACATAGATGAAGTATTAGCCAAAAATGACAGAAAAAAAATGTTTAAGTGTAAAAGTGATATGATTAGGCCTAAGGCTAGGAAAGAACCTGATAGTGTGATAGAAATTTAACAGGAATTGCTTTCATCACAAAACTTTGAAAAGTTATATCCATTTATATGTATCCAGCCTTTTGGGAGCTCACATTCTGGTAGGCTAACAGTCAGGTATTGTAAATAATCATCTGTAGCCACGGTTGTTGACTACATACTCTATGCTGGCTCTGTGCTAAATATTTCCATGTGTTATTGCTTCCCATCTTCACAGTATCCCTGTATAGTAAACACTATTCACAGATGAGAAAATTGCATCCCAGAAAGATCATGAAACTAATGAATGGAAAGACCCCGTCTTGACCATGTGTATTTGACCACAAAGCCCACACCTATAACCTTCACTTAAATATCTCACTAGCGAACACTGAAATATTCACCATGTGGTTCATTCAAAATTCATTCAACAAATATGTATTGAGCCCTTTATCACCATTAGGCACTGTTCTTGGGATAATAGAGAGTAAGACTAATATTAAATAAACGTTTTTTCCTTAGTTAAGGTGGATGCTAAAATGGATACTTAACAAAGATTGACTTTTCTCTCAGTTTTATCTTCACAGGAGGAGAAAGAGATGCCAATTTATCTAAGAAATATTATTGATATAAGACATTGAAAAGAAAGTGACTACAGGAAGAATACACGTGTAAACCATCCTTATTCAAATCAAGTTTGCTTTCTTCGCTTGAGGGTAACTGGGCCTCAACCAGGAAGAACTGTTAACTATGCAATTTCACATAAGTGTTGACAGAGGGAGATGGGCCTTCCATAATCAGAGTAGATTTGTCCACAATTTTTTTTTTTTTGTCTTATTCCCTATCCTGTGGTTAAGTGCTGTCCCAGATGTATGATAACAGAGGTTGAGAGTAATTTTTCAGATTTAAATTTCTGTGAAATTTACAATCATGATGTTTCCCTTAAATGCAATCAGACAAAGCTTTGGTAGAATTTCAAACAAGGAAGTTCATAGTTACAGACAGACTCTCTCATTTCTATACATTTATGGTGATCATCTGATTAAACAACACACCCATCAAAATATCAGCACCTCCTGAGTCTGGATCCCCATTTGCAGTCCATCTGGCTCAGAGAAAAGTCCCTTCAATAAAAGTCACTTGGGGGCACCTGGCTGGCTCAGTAGGTGGAGCATGCACCTCTTGATCTTGGGGTCATAAGTTTGAGCCCCACGTTGTTCAGGTTGTAGAACCTACCTAAAAGTAAGTAAGTAAGTAAGTAAATAAATAAACAAATATCATTTGAATCTTGTTTATGCAAAGGCAAAGGTAGTTAGCAGAAAAATAGCAAGTCAATTGGAATTGTCTCTCTTCATTATGGAAATGTAGATTTGTTTTCTTAGGAAAACTATGTTATAAGGGTTTTTTTAAAAAGTTCTGTCACACTGCATAGCTATAAGAATGGCTAATATAAATGGCAAAATGGTACAACCACTCTGAGAAACAGTTTGGTATTTTCTCTAAACACGAATGCAGCTACCATATGGCCCAACAATTATACTCCTGAGAATTGATCCCAGAGAAATCAAAACATGTTCATGGACGAAAACCTGCATACAAGTACTTATAGCAGTTTTGTTTATAATAGCCCAAAACTGGAATCAGCATCAGATAGCCTTAAATATGTGAATGGTTAAACACATTATAATACATACGTACCATCATGGAATGCTACTCAGCCACAGAAAGGAAGGAACTATAGATATGGGCAACAATTTGGATGAATTAGGCTGAGTGAAGAAAAAGAGCCAATCCTCAAAGGTTATATATTGGATGGTTCCATTTACATAACATTTTGAAAATAACATAATTTTAGGAGCAGAAGACAGAGATGAGGGTGTGGAGGGAAAGTTGGTGTGGTTCTTAAACATGAGAGATCCCTGTGGTGTTGGAAGTGTTCTGTATCTTGACTATGGGGGTAGACACAGAGGTGATAACATTGTATAGAATCAAGTTTATATGTGGGGCTCCTGGGTGGCTCAGTTGGTTGAGCATCTGACTCTTGATTTCGACTCAGGTCATGATTTCATGGTTCATGAGTTTGAGCCCCACATCAGGTTCTGCACTGTCAGAGCCTCCCTCCCTCCCTTCCTCTCTCTCTCTCTCTCTCTCCCTCAAAAGTAAATAAATAAACATTAAAAAAAAAAAAGAAGAATCTAATTTATATGTGTATACCCATGTAGACATGTATAATGAATAAGCATAAAACTTGTGTTGATGTCAATATTCTGATTGTGATATTATACTATGGTTTTGCAAATATTACCATTGGGGAAAATTGGGAAGTGTGCAAAAGTTCTCTCTATTATTTCCTACATCTGTATATCACTGTACAAGTATTTCAATTTAAAAACAGTTGCTTTTAAGGGTGGCTGAGTGGCTTAGTCAGTTAAGTGACCGAATCTTGACTTTGGCTCAGGTCAGGATCTCACGGTTCGTGGATTCAAGCCCCACGTTGGGCTCTGTGCTGACAGTGCATAGCCTGCTTGGGATTCTCTCTCTCTCCCTCTCTCTCTGTCTCTCCTCAGCTTGTGCTTTCTCTCCCTCCCTCCCTCCCTCTCCCTCTCTATCTCTCTCTCTCAAAATAAATAAACTTAAAAAAAAAAAAAGATTCTCTCTCTGCCTCTCTCCCAGCTCATGTGCACGCTCTCACTCTCTGTCACTCTTTCTCTCTAAAATTAAAAAAAAAAAAAAGTTTAAAAGAGCTTTGCTAGAAAAAATAAAATAAAAATAAAACCATGGGCCTGGATAAGATCATCTAAGAAGTACCTATATCTCGAAAGGCCACTAGGGCATTCCCCTATTTAGAAGGAAAGTGAGTTATTCAGTAAAATAAACGGAGAAGGCATCGCCGTGAGGCAGCAAAACAAAGAAGAAATTTGTCTCAGGAAAGATGGAGTTTTCAACTGTGTCATATGCATAGTTCTTGGGTCAAGTAAGATGAGGATACAGAATTGACCACTGAATTTGGCAGCGCAGAAATCACTGATGACCTACACGGTTCCATGGAGGGGAGAGAATAAACACCTGACTGGAGCAGGTTCAGGAGAGAAATTAGAGACAGGAAGACAGTTCTCTTGACACTTTTACTCTAAAGGGGAGTAGAGCAATGAAGGTACTGGAAGGCATTGTGGAATAGAGAAAAC